AGACACCCCTTGCTGTGAGCCCCGGAGCCTGGGCTGCAGATCCAGCTGCGCCCGGCCCCGAGGGCAGCTCGCCAGGAGCACCGCTCCAGTGATGAAGCCCAGGGGCTGCAGCAGGGGCCGGACAGGGAGGCTGCGGGAGGCTCCAGGAGCTGAAGGTGGCGACACTCGGCCACCAGCCCATCTGGCCCCGGCCCCAGCTGCAGCCTGGCCTCTGGCGAGCCCCACATAATATCAGCTCTGTTACTCAGGCTGTTTCCTAGGGTCCCCATGGTAACCGAGGAGCAAACGCGGTCCCTCCTCCGCTCGCTGGGTGACTCACCTTGGGTTTTACAAGGCGCCCGGAACAAGGGATGGGGGTGGGGGGCAGAGGAGCAGGAGCTCCCTCCAGGTGGGCGTGGGGGGAACACTGCCTGCATCACCGCCCCCGCCCCCCGGCGCCAGGCAGCACCAGCCCCACGCACCCGGATTCCAAACCCCAGCCTCTGGGCAACGCAGGCCCAGCTCTGCCAAACCAGCTCCTTACCCCTGGCCCAGCGTGTGGGGTCCTGGGCAGGACTCATTCTCCTCTGGCTGGAAAGGGGGATGCACACGGCTGTCACAAAGGGTGTGCTAGACTCTATGCTGCACTGGGGCAGGGCCTCCTGCCCCCTGTCTCAGGGCACTAGAGGTGTCCCGCTGCCGGCAAGGCCAGGCCTGGTGATTTTGCTCATGGGCCATTTTCTTGGTGATTTTCCCAACAAGCCCTGAGTTTGAGGATGGGGGGTTCCAGTGGGGAGCCTGGCGGGTCAGAAGTTTGGGGTTTGGCCTCCAAAGGGTCCAACATCCAAACCGTTCCCAAATCAGTGGGGGCTAGAGAAGCCCTGGAGCAGCTCTCCTCTTCACCCGCCATGGACGTCCTGCCTGCTCCGTGCCTAGATCCTCACGCTGGCTCCATGCTTGGATCCCCCCGGCGGGATAAAAGGCTCCATGCGTCAACCTCCTTCCAAAGCCCCTGGGGTGGGAGCCGGGAAGCCGGTGACTTGCAAAGGAACGGAGACGCCAAGGTGTTACGGCCGTCAGAGAGTCCTGCCCTCCTGGAGCAGAAACGGGGGGGCTCTGGCCCTGCATGTTGGCCAGACTCGTGCTGTGGTAATTCCACTCTGCCGCCCAGAAAGCCCCACACGTGCTCAGCGGGACACAGCACTCCCTGCACGTCCTGTCCTCAGCTGCTGCTCGACGTCTCCATTCCAGCTCGGAAGTGGCTGCATTTCACCAGTGGAAGAAGGGATTTCTCTCTCACAGGGGCCGTGCGAAGATCTGTGAAGTGCTTTGAGATCCTCCGCAAACGGTGCTGCCAGAGGGCTACATATTTGGGCTCGTAGCTGCAGCAGCCAGATCTCGGGCTGCGTGTCAGCTGACAGGCTGGACAGAACTCTGCGGGGTCCGGATACTGGAGGATGTGCAGACGCAGGAGGCCAAAGCGTCCGTGGGGTTTTGGAGTAGAACCGAACCCAGTGTGCGCTGGCAGCGCTAAGTTTCCGGTTATCTGGGCAGACGCCCTGAAACTTCCTCCGTGGAGCAGAGGGAGCGTGGGGTGAGGGCTGGGAGGGAACCGCTTGGCTGGCTCTCCCCACTGCGGAGATCACGTGTCGCTCGAGGCCAGGGGTTTATCGGCACTGCGGTCGTGCCATTGCTTGGATCTGCCCGGGGGTGGACGCGGGCAGTTTGGGCCGTGCGAACGCAGCACTGAGCCAGGCGCGCTGGGCTGGCTCCATCGGCAGAGGGGCCCAGCAGCTGCTGAAACAAGGTTTCCGAGATGCCGGGAGCCTGGAGCTGGGGACAGCCTTGCCTTGCAGCTCGTGGCTGGGTGCTAGCTCAGGGACTGGGGGCTGGCGGCAGGGCCCAGCGGGGAGGGCTGGCCTCCGTCTCTAAGACAGTAGGGGTTGGATCAGATCAGCAGTGCAGGAGGCTGCAACGCCCGACTTCACATGCTCTCTCCCCAGCGGCCTCCCAGGCTCGACGCAGACTCACTCCTGCAGCCGGTGGCTGTTACATGGGAGCTGTCTGACCAGCTAACAAAGGCTCCAGCTGGGGCTATTGCAGGGAAGCACCAGTCCGGGATGGGACCGACTGGCCTCATCCTTCCATTCGCCCCCCACTTTTCCGGGAAACACAACGGGCCAGGTTCTCTGCCATCACACCAGGGCACTCTGTGTCCGTGGCAGAAGCAGCTGGCTGCTATCAATCCATGACCCAGGCTCACTGGACACAGGCCAGGGAGGACCAGGATGGGTGGGGGGCCTGGCCCTGTGCTCCACACTCTCTGTGGGGTTCTCCCCCACCTGCCTTGGGGCCCCTCATACCCAGAGCCATGCTGAGGGGGCTTGGGTGAGTCAGGCTTGGAGCAGCTTGTGGACAATTGTGCCAGGATTAGCCTCGGGTGCTGGTCTCCTCCCTCAGGAGAGTCTTTGTGGTGCCTTGAAAGGGCAAGTCAGCTGGGGCCCTTGATGTGGTTTGCCGCAAAAGGCCGCCGGTGAATGGGCCAAGAGCCCGCCCGTTCCCATGCACAGACAGGCCCTAGGGTGACTTGCAGGCAGGACAAAGGACGACTGCACTGAGCCGGGAGTGCAGGTGATGGGAGGAACCGAGCCCCACCCATGTTTGGGGGCTCCCTCGCCCTGCAGTTCCAGGGCGTCAGTCGTGGGGAAAGGGCCCAGGTGACCCCGGTCAGTCAGGCCAAGGGAATCAGAACCCTCTGCCCTTCTCTAGAGCTGTCCGTCTGCCTGAGGCACTTTACAAACCAATGGGAAAACTGAGGCACAGGGCAGGGGAGGGCCTGGCTCAAGATGGCAGTACAGCAATGCCAGAGCTGGGAATGGAAGAGCTCCCCAGTTTCTAGTCCTCTGCTTTAACCCCAGCTCACGTCCCATTCCCATAAATATGCCCCAGGGTGGCGGGCGGGGATTCCCTCCCAAATTCACTGGGAACAAGGGGTGCCCGAGCCTCTTCTTCCAGAGAGGGAAACTGAGGCACAGGAATGGACCACAACTTGCCCTAGGTCAGATGACAGAGGCAGCGGTGGAGCTAGAAACAGCACCCTGCTCTCTGGACCCACAGCCCCAGGCCCTGTTCACTGGACAGGGCTGCCTCCCTTCTGGCAACCCAGCGGGCTGGTCATGCTCTTCCCCAGGCCTTTCATTAGCACACGGCCAGGCCACGGCATCCAACAGCACCGGCGGTTAGCGACCAGCACACCTGCCCTAGCCACCAGGGGGGACCCCGAGGGGAAGGGGTCAATGGGTCAGTGCAGGCAGACAACCCCGGCTCTTGGGGGAGATCCAGTGCAGGCTGGCGAGTACAAGACGTGTCCCCCGTTAGGAGGCTGCACCTTGCCCCGTCCCAGGGATGGGTCCCTCCCAGGCCCCAGAGCTGAAGAGCCCTTCATGCGGACAGGGTTTGCAAGGCCAATGAATGCAAGGCCGGCACGCAGCAGGCATCTGGTGCAAACTGGAACAGTCCAATCTCTCACTGTCAGCCCTTGAGCACCTGCAAGCTCTGGGGGCTGAGACAGGGCGAGGCCCAGTGTGAAGCTGAAGGATCTGCCCCGTAAATTAGGCAGCAGTGCCAGATTCCACAGCCGGGAATGCGGTTCCCAGGGGGCCAGGTTCGCTGGTCCTGGCTAATCCCATTAGCACATCTGTTCCATAAGTGGTCTCTGGGGCTTCCTCGGCCAGGCCAAGCTTCCCAGGCTCCCAGCTGGCTCCAGCGGCAGCAATTTGAAAAGCTAAATAATGCTCAGGAGGGAGCTCAGCTTGGCCAGCTCCTGTGCTAAGCGGCGGGCTGGCTGCAGACAGGTTGGGGCACTTCTGTGCTGCAGATTAACCTGGGACCAGACAGACCTAGCCCCTTGAACTCCTCCTCGGGGCCGCTTTCCCAGGAGCTCAGTGTCAGCTAATGGGATTCCCCGTGTATGAGGGCCAGGACGGTACAATAAGTACATCATTTTCCAGCTCTCTAACACCTCCCATCCCAAGGGCTCTCCAGCTTAGTGCACACGCCAGGCCCTCTGAGCTCATGTACACAGCCACGGCAGAAGCAAGCCTCACGTATGCACAAGGATCACTTTCCTCCTACACTGAAAAGGGAGGTCGCCCCGTCGCTGAGGGGTGTGAAAAATCCACCCCCCACGGCAGTGTCGTTCAGCTGACCTAACCCCCGGTGTACACAGTGCTAGGTCAATGGAAGAAAACTTCCGTCCACCTGGCTACCGCCTCTTGGGGAGGGGGATCCCTGCACCGCTGCAGCTGTTCTGTTTCCGAGTTTCAAGTGTAGACAAGCCCTAGTGCCAGGCAGCCACGTCTGGTGCCCCTGTTTAACAGGGCAGAACTGCTCCGGACAGGAAGGACAATCCTGTATCCAAGGAATCCAGCCTGTTATCTTGGCTGGGGCTCTGGAAAGAGCAGGGCCGTGGCTGGCAAGGAAAGGAAACACACACCAGCTGCGGACCCAATGCTCATTATCCTGAGGCAGGTCTGGCCTGGCCTGGCCTGTGCTGGAAGTCCTTCCCCCACCGCACGGATTGAAGCTGCAGACACAAGTCAAGGCCATGGCTGGAGCCCGGAAGATCCCCGTGGCCGTGGAATGGTTCTGTTGAGGTCCAGATTCTAATGGGGGTGCGGGGGTCATTCCTGAGTCCATGCCCTGCACAGGACAGCTCCCCAAAGTGTGTGTGGAGGGCTGTTTGTGTGTGTGTTTGGTCTAGAAGAAATCCCATCACCTGAGACACTGACAGCCAGTCTGGACAAGGCCCTGGGGAAGAATCCTGCCCACGGGAGGGGCTAACAGAAACCCGGGGTGGAAAAGCCTGACAGCTCTAACCCACAGCTAGAGCAGTTCACCAGCTTCCTCCTGCCGCTGGGCACGGGCCATCCCAGCAGGGACCGCACCCGGGCCTGGCGCCTGTCCGTCAGAGACCAGCCATCTCAGCTGGTGGAGAACCCAGTGTCGGGGCAGCGTCTCACCTGTTCGAGGGGCTCGAGCGACTCCAGCCTCTGGACACGCACCGCTGCACTGCCCTTGGGCACCAGGCGGTGGCCCAGGCCGAGGCAGGTGGCAGAGACCAGCAGGATCCCCAGGTCGGGAGCCACCAGGCGCACAGAGTTGGGGATGTCGTTTAGGTCCAGCCTGCGAGGGAACGAGTCGGAGGGCGGGGGGAGGGAGAGGTAAACACTCGCCTGCCGACAGGCCAGCCCCTCGCGCTGTGTGAGACCCACGGGCAGAGGCCAGTGGGAGTGGCTGTGGGGGGACCCACGTGGCTCAGCCACGGTTGTGGGAACAGACCATCAGGGAGCAACGCGCCCTGCCACGTGCTCCTGCTGGCCACCCCACAGCTCCCTCTGGCCCTGCCTTGGGCGAGCGAGTCCCTCCGCCAGGCTGGGAGGGAAGCTGGCAAACCCAGCTGGGACAAGGAGACTGCGGCTCTGCCTTCGCCCTCTGCCAGCACAGCAGCAAATGCCTTGAGTCGCTGCGGCGGCATGCTGGGGCACACAGGCGGGCTCTGGCCCTGGCCTGTCCCACCACACGGTGCTGCTGAGGTAGGCGTAAGGCCCAATTGTGAGACACTCCCCCGGGGTGGGGACCTGCCTTCTGAGCCTCCCCCCAGCGATCAGTTCATGGGCTGGAGCACAGCCCCCGATGGCCCCCGTGACCACCCAGCCAACGCCCAATCACAGCAGGGGCTTGGCTCCCTATATGGGGCCCGCCCCAGAGGAGCGTGCCTGGGGCCGCATGCGAGAAAGCCATCACCACCCAAGCTCCACGCGGCATAATGCAGAGATCTGCCCCTTACCTGGTGACCCCAATGTGACGGGCGAGCGTTTCCCACGTGCTGCCTGTAGGGAAGCAAACAAAGAAGGAGTTAGCCTGGCAAACCCCCTGGGAACGGACACAGACACCAATACATTGCTGAGCCCAGCAGCAGATGGACAGTGTCTGAGCAGGGGAGCTGAGGGCCAGCACAGGGCCAGCAGCGCCTGATACCACAGCAGGTGGCCGCCTGCAGTAACTCACCAGCTTGACCCTCGCGAGCCAAATGGCTCAAAACTAGAATGTTTCACCTAAAGGAACAGTGTGACTAGTGCAGGCTTAGATCACCAGACCGTGTGTGCAAAACGGCACGCACCGAATCTGTGCAAAGTTACTGCAAGGGCACGTGGGAGGGAACAGTCAGACGGCTATTTCTGCCCCCGGCTGTTTGCACACCCAATTACGGTCCTAGCGAATACTGTACATTCCGCTTTGCCCATAGAAATGCCAGGTTCAGCCCTCTAGATCTCACATTTATACAGCATCTTCCAAAGAGCTGAAAGCTCTTTCCAGACTAGCCATGCAGGGATCGCTTTGCCCACCGCTGAAATGCGATCACCTCCGAGGTGGAACGGGCCGGCTGTCTAACAGCCTCATAGTATCCGTTGAGGGGAGGTGTCACAGAGTCCCCGGGCGATGCTCTGGAACTGCTCCCTACAAAGCCAGGCAGGACTATGGAGGAGTCTCCTCTCTGGGAGCAGCCTGTCTGCAGGACACACAGCTCACACAGCTTCCACCTTCCTGGGTCTGACCTCGGAGCATTCAGCATCCTCTGCCCCCCGTGTGTTTCCCACAGCGAGTCCGCTCAGGCGGGGTCCTGGGGAAGCCAGAGGGTCCTGCCCCCCAACTCCGCAGTCAGACGGGACTCTCAGCCAGCCAGTAAAACAGAAGGTTTATTAGACGACAGGAACATGGTATAACACAGAGCTTGTAGGTGCAGAGAACGGAACCCCTCAGCCGGGTTCATTGTGTGGGGCAGTGAGCCAGACAACCACGTCTGCCCTTCATTCCATGTCCCCAGCCAGCCCCAAACTGACCCCCCCTCCAGCCCCTCCTCCTCTGGGCTTTGTCCCTTTCCCGGGCCAGGAGGTCACCGGATTCCTTTGTTCTCCAACCCTTTAGGTCTCACCTTGCAGGGGGGAAGGGCCCAGGCCATCAGTTGCCAGGAGACAGAGTGTTGGCCATTTATATACACTGGCCTTTTGCTCTGCAACAATTAAACTCCCTTATCCCACCACCTAGAGACTTAAGAAATGCCTTGGGGAAACTGAGGCACCCCTACAGTATTCAGAGGAAACATTAAGAACAGTCCCACTTTGTCAGAGGAGGATAAGAATAATCTTCGATCTAGCTGAAACTGCAGAGGAATTTAGGAAGCAAAATGCAATTTGCCAGGTTGGAATTGGAGCCGGACACTGGGGTTCCCAGCCCTGCTCGGGGGGGGCTGCCGTAACCCCAGGTGGGTCAGGACCGTAGCATTGCCATCTCATTCTTAGCCCTGCAGCCGGAGCGGACTCCCCAGAGTGCACATGGGGAAGGGCACATGGGGCCACGGCCACCCTTGGCGCAGAGGCAATGGAGACCCACCAAGAATTAACGTGGACCTTTGAATCCTGCCTCATGCATTCACAACGTGCCCCTGTCATGCAGGGAATCCGTATCCCTATCGCCGTGCCGTGCACTGCTGAGTGCATCCTTCCTTCCAGAGCGCCCTGGCTGGGAGCAGAGCCCGGCTGGCTGGGACACCTGACTATGGGGCCACGATATATCCGACAACACTGGGGGGGCGGGGGCCACAGATGGGTCTCCTTGAATGGCAAAGAGCCCCCCACAACCCTGGCCCCAGGCTGCTGCCTCCAGCAACGTCCCCAGCACACGTGGATGCGGTACTGCTCGGGGGGACGCCGCCAGCAAAGCCCTTCTCCCTGTCAAGCCCGGAAGAACGAGAAGGGCAGGGTGCCAGGAACAGGAGCAAGGGCCAGTGGAGCTGCTGAGAGCTCAGACGCCACCCGCTCTGCAGCTGGCTAGCGAGCTCGTCGAAAGGGTCAGCAGGTGTGGGGAGCTGCTCCATGGCAGGGGCAGAGGGGAGATTGTGTGCTACAGCCCCACCCCCCCTCCTCCACAGCACCTCCTCCCCGCAGCCCCGTGCGGCACCGCCCGGCGCGTACACGCCTTCCGTGCCGGCATTCCCCGCGCCGCCCTCTGACCGTCCGGCCACCTAGACTTCCACGACAGCAGCAACAGTGACATCTCCAGCGCATCTCAGCAAACTTCTCCCTGGCCCAGCAGGACCTCTAAGAGCGCCCCCCAAGGGACTGGCACACCAGGGGCTTTCTCCTTCTAAGAACGCTCGCCAGCTCAAGGGCCAGGGATGTGGCAAACGTGAAAGCCGTAGTTCTGATGTCACATTCCCAAGGCTTGAACGGTCTCTCCCGCTTTGCTGCATCTTTCGCAAAAGGTCAGGTGGCTGTTTAATGGGGCATCTGCCCCGGGGCGACGCAGGTGGAGGTCTCTGTACACCGACCCCTCCCCTTGTTTGACACAGTTTGATGTAGGACACGGGGGTTATGGGAACACCTTCGGCCCATACTATCCATCAAAATGAATACTACAGGATGAGCCGGGACCACCGCTCGAGGAAACGGGAACACCAGACAGTCCCAGCTCAGCTGTCCCAAGTCCCCCACCCCAACCCGGGGCTGGAACAGAACAGGCCAGGGAGCAGGTTGTGACGAAGCGGGACTGTTCTTAATGTTTCCTCTGAATAGTGTGGGGGTGCCTCAGTTTCCCCAATGCAGTTCTTAAGTATCTAGGTGGTGGGATAAGGGTGTATGATCGTTGCAGAGCACTAGAGGGCAGGTGTGTGCAGGGGTCAGGACACAGAGAATGGCCGACACCCTGTTTCCTGGCAACTGGTGGCCTGGGCCCTTCCCCCCTGCAAGGTGAGAGCTAAAGGGTTGGAGAACAAATGAATCAGTTGACCTCCTGGCTAGGAAAGGGACAAAGCCCAGAGGAGGAGGGGCTGGAGAGAGTTTCAGTTTGGGGCTGGCTGGGGACATGGAGTGAAGGGCAGATGTGGTTGTCTGGCTCACTGCCCCGCAAAATGGACCCGGCTGAGGGGTCCTGTTCTCTGCACCTACAAGCTCTGTTTTAGACCATGTTCCTGTCGTCTAATAAACCTTCTGTTTTACTGGCTGGCTGAGAGTCACGTCTGACTGCGGAGTTGGGGGGCAGGACCCTCTGGCTTCCCCAGGACCCCGCCTGAGCGGACTCGCTGGGGGAAGCGCACGGAGGGGCAGAGGATGCTGAATGCTCCGAGGTCAGACCCAGGAAGGTGGAAGCGGTGTGACCTTTTTGCCCTGAAGACAGGCTGCTCCCAGAGAGGAGACTTCCCCAGAGTCCTGCCTGGCTTCGTAGGGAGCAGTTCCAGGGCATCGCCCGGGGACCCCGTGACACAGGTACATCTCCTTCACCTTGACAGTTCCGGGAGCCGAGCAATCGGATTGGCCGAGCACTGTCAGGTGACGCCCAGCGGACACCTATATTCTGGGTGGATTCCAAATGAGACACACAGAGCCAAGGCCCAGGAGAAGCTGGTTTCTGGGGACAGAGGTGGCTGCACACCCCCCTCTCCCATCTTGCTCCCCTTCCTCTGCCCCCTGCCACACTGGGGAGGAAGATCTGTAGGGTCTGGGGAAGGAGGGCCCACGGGGAGCAAGACGGGGGCACTGGCTGCAGGGAGCCCCTCGCTGGGAAAGGAGGAAATTTGGGAGTAGGGGGACATTTCTCCCACTGGTTGTCCTGGCTTGCCGGGGAGTGGTTCACTGGTGTGTACTATTCGCAGCCCTGACCGGCCAGGCTGTTTCCGGGGGATGGGGGGAGAGACCGGGAACAAGCGGCAGAAGCCAAGCCTGGCTTTCCATAAGGGAAACAATTTCCTACTGCCTCCAATTCCGCTCGGAGAAGAGGAAAGGCACTTGCCAGACCCTCCCCCTCCTCCAGAGACCAAACAGACTCCGTCTGCCATAGGCTGCGAGAGAATCCAGTGTAAACAGAACTGCAGGGGTTGGAGGGCAGAGGCACACACCTGCCCCGCTCACCCCTCGGCCAGCCTGCGCCCATCTGGGGATGTTGTTCGACAAGTAAGTAAGAAACCTCTGAAAGCAAAGTGCCAGCTCTTCATGAAAGCTTGCGTTGGGCGGCAGGAGGGAGCCCGGGGGCATTTTGCAAGGCATTTGGAGAAGAGCAGAGGCTTGGGATAAAAATGGGGCTAACTGGAATCAATCCAGTAGCTACCACTGAGATGCAACAAATATTTACATTTGCCCCCAGAATGGGGAGGAAAGGGGGTGGGAGATGGGTCCTGGAAAATCATAGAGGGAATCCTCTGACAATTCCTGACCAAGGCTGGGGAAGAGTCACCCTGCCCACCAAATGCACACTTGGTCAGTCCATGCTGAGTGGATGCCTGTGCAGTGCAGCTGTGATCTAGGTTGCTCAGATATCAACTCCTGCCTGGGATATTTCACAAGTAACTACAGTGCACAAGGTGGGGCAGGTAATATCTCCTTTTGGACCAACTTCTGTTAGTGAAAGAGACACGCATTCGAGCTCTTCTTCAGGTCTGGGAAAGGTGCTGAGAGCGCCCCAGCCAAACCCCAGAGGGAACAGACTGGTTCCCAGATCTGACTAGCAGAGAGGAGTGATGGGCGAAATGGGCCCAGTAACGGAGCTGGGACTGAATACGACTGACTGGGGCCAGGGGAGGAGCTCACTGCGCTGTGCTGAAGAACCCCCAGCAGAGCCACATGGGGGCTCGGTACTCACAGTTCTGTCCCAGCAGCTGGCCCAGATCCGGCACAGTGTACAGGCATATCTGGAAGACCAAGTGGGCAGTGAGAAAGAGGATGCTGGTTCCCAGGAGAGCTTGGAGGAGACGACCTGTGTGCCCTAGAAGACAAAAATAACCCCCCGGTTATTAAATCCTCCTCCTGGCTCACCTCCCAGCCGAAGGCCCCAATGCTTTTTGCACTGCGGCCAGCATCCTTGTTTCACAGACGGGGAGAGAGAGAAGCTGGGTGACTTGCCCAAGGCTCTGCACCAAGACAGTGGCAGAGTTGGGATGAGAACCCCAGTCCCCCCTGCTCTAACCACTACACCCCACAATGTGGGTGACGTTTCCAGGGCCAGAGAACGATTGCATCTCCCACAAACGCTTCGCCAGCTGCGTACAGGGAACCTGACCCACTGCTGTGCAAACGCAGGCCTCCCCCCGGCAAGCAGCTCCACCGGTTCAACCGCTGGAGGGGCTCAGCCCACGCCGTGCTCTAGCTGTGTCTGACTGGGCCGGAGGTGGCTACGTTATTCCCGCATTCCAGCAGCGTGCTCGGACACCAGCATCCTAGCCAGCCCCAGCTGCGGTTGGTGCACTGCTCCCCGGCGCACGTTCCCTTCACAGCATCACCGACTGGGAGCAAAACGCACACAGCTTCTGTATCGAGAGCCCCTACCTGGTCTGGGCTCTCTCAAGCCCCACCCACATGGCACTCCTCACACTGACCACCAGGGGGCACAGTCAGAGCACACCCCCCACCCTGTCCTCTGCAAGCTGGGTCCCTGTGTCTGTCCTCACACCCAAGGGGTTGGGAGAAGCAGCCTCCAAACCTTCCAAGGTTGGTTGACCCAGGAATGTGTCACCCTGCATGCTATCGGAGGAATGTCCCTTCCGCCCCTTGGCATCAGGAGGGCTATGTCCCAGGAGAGTCCAGCCGGACCCACCCAGAGAGGGCCGGGGCCCACTTCCCAACAGACGCCCACGCTTGAGGGGCCTGCAGCTCCCCGCCCCAGGCCTCCTGGGATTTCTCCCTGCAGAATGGCAGGGGCAGGATCGGCAGGGACCATTCCATCACCAGGAGCAGAGAGGAGTGCAGATCTGTGGGAGGAAGGGAGGGAGGCTGTCACAATCCTGGGAGATATCCACACACAGGTCAGATTGCACGGTGGGGCCATGGTGCCCAAGCAGCGGTCCCCCATTCCAGGAACAGCTGCAGCCAATCAGGACAGGGCAATCCAGGGAATATGTCAGGGAGGACTTTGTTCTTAGTGGGGCCCACAGCTGAAAGAGACAGCGTGAGACTATCAGGACCGAGGCGAAAGATAGACCGGGTGTGATGTCTGGAAGCAGGATGGGAGTTGGGGAGTGGGAGGTGGGGACGGCTTATGACGTCCCATAGGGATCAGCCTAGAGTAAATTCCAAGTGCTTCTACCTGGAAACAAACAGGCAGAAGAGTGTCCACACCAGCCCTGCAAAGGTGCTAGCAGCCTCAAGTTATTAGCAAAGGATTCCTTCAAGGCAACTCTAGCAAAGTCACACTCTTAGACCGGAATCAGGAAGGCCCCCGGGGGCTCATTTAAACACAGACCCACTGAAGGAGGCGGTGGGAAACAAAAGGTCCCTTCTGGGAGAGATTCCCTTGGGAGCAGAGATTCCCATGCGAGGCAGACGGGGGAGAACTAACCCTTCTCCTCACTAGCAAGATGGGGAACATGACTGGCGCGGTCTGCCAGGCCATGGGAAAATGTGGGTGGGGCGGTCACAGAGCCCGCCAGGCCCTCTGCTTTGGCGCAGGGTAGCCCAGACCACAGCAAGAGCAGCACCAATGTCCAGGCCTCCCCCAGGAGTTGGGGGCTAGATGCTGTCCCCTGAAGGCCTTTGGTGGGCAGGGATCGTGCCCTCACGTGCCCGTTAACCCCAGCGGAGTCTGCCCGGTGCACACTGATATTGCACCCCCAGGCAGTATCTTTGGGACCACTGAATCAAATCTCTGAATGGCTCATGTCGGGCTGTGCTCTGCCCCGGGGATGGGGACCACAGCTCCTCCAGAAACTCAGAACAGCCGGGGGTGGGGGGTGATTAAGGTGAGTCACTGACACTAGCCAGCCCTGGAGAGGAACCCCTCAGCGAGGTTTCATAGACTGGTCAGGCTGGGTTTTCCCGAGACTCAGAGACAAAGAAAGGGCTTTTGGTGTAAAAAAGATGAGCTTGAACTGACTCAGGGCCTTCTTTCTGTGCCAGCGACCAGACTGGGCCTTCTGTCCATGGGGGCCCAACCCAGGGGGAAGGGCTGGAAAGACTTGGGCCTGCTAGGGCTCCGGAAGGCTCACGGGGGACCTCGAGCCTGCGTCCAGGAACCTTTATGGTTAACAAGCTTAGAAAGAGCTGGGGGTAACTGCGGGCACTAGAGAAAGCGAAGCGCAGAGGCTGGCTGCTAGGCAGACGGGCTTGCTGGGGGTAGCAGTGCATGGCAGGAGCTGGGCAGCCTAACCCCTGGTCAGGAGGGCGTGGGACATGCCCTGCCCATAGACAAGTGATGGCTGGAGGCCTGAGACCAAACTGGTCACCCCTGGAGCTGAGGGTCTCAACACCAACCCCCATCACTACGACTGGCTGAATCCACACAAGAGGGGGATAGGATCCCCTGCCTTGGGAAACCAAGAGGGGAATGAACCCTGGATCTCGGGGGGTGTCATGCAGATCCCTACTTCCTCCCCAGGCTCCTACATTAACTGATGGGACACCATATGACTGGCCGAGTCTCTCTCTCTCTCACACTCACACACACACACACGGCTGACAGTTCCCACACCCACTTCATCGGCCCACGAAGGACTTTACTGTGTACACCCTTTCACAGCCTTTGTGCACCCCCAGCACAGCTCTACCTGCGTAAGGATCGGTCCCATTTGCACACACGCAGCCAGCCCTGTCCAGCTGCAATGCTGGAGGAGTCAGACACACTCTCACAAAGCAAACAGCTCAGAGAAACAACTCCTGCCCCACACACCACTAGAGAGCACCAGCCCTCGGGCAGGCTGGGAAGGGCACACCCCTGTGCGGAGGCACAGCAGCCACAGCCAGCCCGGGCAATGGGGGCCATGCAAAGTGATCAGTTTACATCTGAGATGAAACTGGACCTCCCTTTGGTTCTGCTCCAGCTTAGAGACGGGGCCAAACCCCGAGGCCCCGAGTTTTGGGTATTCAACAGCCAAACCAAGATTGTGTAATTCTCAATCAGATCCTTTTCAGTGGCTCACAGCCACGCCACTTCATACAGAGCACCAGCCGTGAGGACTCAATCCGGCATGGGGCTGAGTGCTCCGACCCAACCCAGCAAAGCTTAGACATGTGCTTGATGTCAATGGGGTGTTGTGCCCTGCTGGATCGGGGCAGAGTGCTCTGCACATAGCAGGATCAAGCCTGCAGAGAGGATGGCTTGAAGGAGAATCCCCGTACCTCCCGCAGGAACCTCGGGCTCCCCTGGGGGAACTCAGTCAGACACTTGTGCTAGGGGCCACCCCTTCCGAGGGTCTCTCCTGTAGGAGGCCACGTCACAATGCAATGCCGGCGGGGACTGTCTCGTCTTCTCCCAGCCATGCGGCAACTATGACTTCCCTTGAAGAGGGGACCTGCAAATACTTCAGACCAGCGGCATGAGCCAGATGCCCCGAACAGCCTGGAAAGAACAGGGCACAGGGGGGGACATTCTCCCGTTCCTGCCAGCCACCACCTTCTCTTCTACATGCACTGGGATGCACTGTGCCAGCTGCTGAGCACATCCCAGCTCCAGGCGGAGCACAGAACCGGCGCTCCGGGGGCGGGAGAGGGAGCTAAGAGGGGCCAGCGCTCGGTGTGCGTCTGTTCAGTTTTAAAATGCATGTGCAATTGCACTTCTGTATCTGTGCACCGTGACCACAGTGATGTGCACAAACCAGGCCAGCTGAGGTGTGCGTGGAGGGAGATTTCGCAATTTGCACACACCATCGCGGTCCCACACATATAAATTAGACACCGAATCACCAAAATAAAGCAAAAATCCAGCAGTCCATGCCCAGGCTTTACGCTGGGGTGTTTGTGCTGGGGCAGGGAGAGAAGCTGGGGATTAGATGCTGGGCCCACGGATTGAGTCCCCAGTGCTGCGTTTTTCCTCTCTACTCTCAGCACAAAGGGACCTTTGGAAGTGGACGATGAACATCGCCCCGCGCATGCTGTCCCATCTGGGGCAGCCCCATTGATTCCATACAGCAGGCTGGGTGCCAAGAGCAGAAAGGTTTAGGTAAAAATCCCCTCCCTCCCTCCCTCCCACTGCTTCACTGCTTTGACGCCAGGATCTCACAGGGCTCAATGGACATTCATGAGTTAAACTCAGCATGACTGGTCATGCTGGGAAGAGCTATCACCCCCCCCCGTACAGATGGGGAAGTGAGGCACAGGGTCAGACATGGGGCATGGGTTAGAGCCAGGACACAAAGAAGGAGAAAACGCCCCCAAACGGCCGGTGTGCTATCCGGGACAGCCGCTGGCAAAGGTGACGGGCAGCGGGATACGGAGCCTCACAGCTCTGCAAAGCCAGTGCCAACCCTGCCGGGTGCAGCAGTCATGACCCAGTAGCTGGGGTCCCATGGGAAACAAGCTGGTGGGTCCCTGTGGGGGGGGCAAATCCCTGGGGTGATACCACCCCAAATGCCCCCCAGTGGGCAGTCTCAGGGACCTCCCCTCTTGCTTAAATGAAACCCCTGGGCCCAGCTGGCCCTGACAAAGGGGAGCTGCCCAAGGATCCAGGCTCCCCTCCTCACCCCACCGCACCTTCCTCTGCCTGGGGCCTGCAGAAATGAAACCCAGCTGGGCTCCCGCGGCCTGCCAGGGATGGCTCTTCTCCCCACCCCCCTTCACCGCAGGCTGTGGCCCTGGCTCAAGCCAGCCTGGAATTTTCCAATCGCGAGCCACAAGGTAGCCAATAACTTCAACCCCCCCACACCCTCGATAATAACCCCAGTCAAATCTTCCACCAGATGCTGCCAAGCCCCTTGTGCTCACACACGCCTCATAAATCCAAGGATGCCAGACTTGGGGGGGCTCACATTTTCCTCTCCCAGCTGGAAAGAGAGATCCCGGGAGGGGAGGGAGAACTGGCCCGTCCAAAGTCTCACTCAGTGATGATGATCCTTTACTGTAAGTCAGCTCTGCGGCTCGCCGGAGAGAGCTGGGTTCGGATGGCATGAAAGCCATGAAATATTCAGGGGCAGAAGCTTTTAGTGGTGGCAAACGAGGGAGGCCAGTTCTGATTATGGATCTTTTAATTGTTGCAGGGGGCGGGCGGTCCTGGGGCCCGATCCAGACAGGCTCCGGCAGCAGGGCAGCCCCAGTGCCAGCTCTCGGAGGAGGGGCGGCCCACTCGCCACACCCCAAAGCCCTGCCAGCTGCCCCAAAGCCATGGCACTGCCAACCTCTCCCCCTGCGGGAGGCACTGCCTGCCCGCCTGCGGTGGGTCTCCCTACACCGGAGGCCCCCAGCAGATCCCACCAGCCCAGCCATGGACGGCCCCCAGGAGATGCTGAACAGCTGATCTCATGGGGCTCCTGCTGCAGCCAGCCCCCCCGCCCGCATGCCCCTCTGCTCCTGCGGCGAGCACGGCGAGGCAGGGGGGCTGACTCGCAGCATCTCCCTCCTCCCTGGATGGATGCAGCTCGGCTCTGAGGTTTCTGGTTAATAAGCCTGGTGTTTGGACCCAGCCATTTCAGAGCAAGAGGCCTATTCATAGCACGGCCGGGCTATAATTAACAGCGGTGCTACTGCCCGGGAACCACCAGGAGACTAGAGTCCCCAAGCTGCCCGGCCTGGGGGAAACCACAGAGGAAGGAGAGAAGGTGCCCACTTTAGAACAGCTCACGCCCCCCTCGCCCTAAAAATAACCCCCACAGACTGAGAAACCCAGGCCTCTCAGCCTCAGAGCTACCCACCCTGCTCAGTCACGGGGGCATGGCGCTCCAGCCCCCTCCCCGGGGGACACCACACTCCTGCCACTCATGGAGTCTGGGTCTCGACTGCCCCTCCTCTCCTCTGCATGTCAAACATCTGGGGGCAGTGCCCGATGGTATCGTCGGGCAAGGGAAGGCTTCTGCCCACAGCAAGGTGCTGCCAGCCTGGAGATAAAGCTCTGAGGGCCTGCCCAGTGCCCGGGAAGTGAGCCTGCTTCCCCCAGGGTGAGCCCCAGTGGGGGAGGCATTGGGGCAGCAGAGTTAATATCAGGGGCTCCCAGAGGTGAGCTCTGAACTCCGAGGACGGGTCCTGCCCCAGGATGAATGGCGCCAGGGGAGCCCCTGCTGCTTGCCTGAGTCCAGTCTGCCCCAGCACCCCTCCCGTCAGAGCAGACAAAGCTCCCATGCCCACCCAGAGCCGCTGGCCAAGAGGCTAACTGGTCTTTGGCAGACACTGGTGCCAATGCTATACCGTGGCACACCTCACCAGGACCCAGGCTGTTCGCACAGGCAGATCTGGATAGCCGTTCGGCTGCAGTCACGGCTCGGAGCTGGACCATGGGAGGGGTGCAGGACAGCGAGGGCAGGCCAGGGCTGACACTAGAGAAAGAAGGACCCATAATTCCCTGGTGGTGCAGGCCAGTGCGGGCAGGAGTGGTATCCTGGGCGTGCAGATGGGGTTCAGACCCTCTTCTCTAATCCTGCTCCCGGCAGGCGGAGAACGAGGAGCCGTGGGTCAGTGCTGGGGCCGGTTAAACCCCGAGTGCTGCGTGAGCAAGTCGCCCCTCTCCAGCAATTCGCCAGCTTGAAGAGCCAGGACTCCCCACGGACACGCTGGTGCCACCCATTCCCCGGGGCAGCAGCCAGTGGTGCTGGGGTCACGATGGCACAAAGAGCCATGGCTGCGTCACCTTGGCTGGCCCTGGGGCTAAGACAGGGCTCTTCCTGGCAGGGAGCCTGCAGTGATTGAACCCTCTATTTATAAGCGACTCTTCCCTTGGGCCCCACTCCACAGTCCTGTCCCAGAGAGCCAGGCTCTCTGTTCCCTTGATGACATATCATCCCATTGCTCCCAGCTCGATTCCAATTCCACTCCTCTGGGATCCTGCCCGGTCCCTCCCCGAGCAGCCGAAGGACACGCACGGATGGACTTTTTACCCTTGTCTCCCCAGTCGAGCCTCCGTCCCTTCAGCATTCTTGTGGATCTTCTCTGAGCTGGCTCCAGTTCACTGACATCTCTCTGGCACGGAGGGCCCCGGAGCTGGACGCCACATGCCAGGTGCGCTCTCAGCAGCCACGTGGAGAGGGATTATCGCCTGGCGACTCTGGGATACCCCATCTCCACAGTGCTAACACGGCAGCGGATTCTCTCACGATGCCCTGGCTCTGCAAACCCCAAGCCAGCCGGCTGCCCGCCACTGCCCCCAAAAGCTGATTTAGTCAGGGCTGCTGTGCAGCCATCTCCCCTGAAATGCCCATCAGGAGCTGTTCGAGCTAGCCAGCAGCGACACACGGGGCCAGCGTGGGGAGCAGAGCCCCCTAGGATGGGAGTGCTCACAGCACCCTTCGTAAGGGAGGGATCCTGGCTGAGTCATCACATGCCTTCTGCTGCCTCCCCCAGCTTGGGCTGTGGTTCAAAGCCACAATCTGGCCTCCACGCAGGAGTCGGCCTGCAGAAGAAAGGACGGTGGCTCAGGCCAGGCACTGCAGCGAGAGGGGAAACAGGAAGGATTTTGCATCCAAACCATCTCCAGAGCCTTTCCCACTCCAGGGGTCCCAGTCGCTTTCAGGGAGATGGACGATGCTGGTGCACAGGCAGGCGTGGCAGGTGTCCGGCTCTCAGTTGCAGACTCGCGTCAGCGCTCTCAGGAAGAGGCAGAACGGCCAGGACAATCGTCCCCAGCGGAACTTGGGATCTTTTACTTCCACTGGAACACAAGTTCTCCGTCATGTCTCCCCTCTAGCACCACCGCTGCCTCCCCTGGGCTGCCCGGCAGCACCAGCAAGAGGCTCAAGGCCTAGTGTGGGACTGGAACCCACAACCTTGTGGCTCAGAGGTGAGCCGCCGTGGCAGCTACCCTCAAGCGTGGTTCGTATCAGCAATCGAAGCAAAACTCAAGAAAAGCAACCACTCCTCCAGACGGGGTGGGGGCACCATAGGGCAGGGCCCGGGCACCGAGCTAGAGCACAAGATTATCTCGGCGCTTCACTGACTCGTCCACACTGTCTCCATTCGCTTTCCCTGCCACTGCTGATTCACACGCGTCTGTGCCCGAGGTCTCCTTTAGAACCAGCCCCTGCTCCAGTGAGGACCCAGTCCCACTGCATGCCAAGTGCAAACATCCACCCTGAGAGCAGTACATAAAGTAATGAATGGGAGGGGGAGCGGCACCTTCTTGTCTTTGGGCTATGGGATGGGGAGAGCAGGGGACCCGAAGAAATTAAAAGATGGAAAATTCAAAACCAACAGAGATAAATAGTTCTTCACCCCATGCAAAACTAGACTGTGGAACTCACTGCCACAGGAAGTCACTGAGGCAAAGGGTTTAGCATGATTCAAAAAGGGATAGACATTTCTATGGAGAACTAGAATATCCATTATACAAAGGATCAGAATTCTGGCAGGGATATTAAGCCTCCTGCTTCAGTGCTTAAGCCAGTCTCTAACTATTAGAGACCAGACTGAGACATAACGTGGGGCCGGCTTATCCCACACCTGCCTACGGCTGAGTTCTTCCACCTCCTTCTGCAGCCTCTGGGGTGCGCTGCTGTCAAAGACAGGACTTTGGACCAGATGGACCTGGGGTCTGATCCAGTCTGGCAAGTCTGGCCAGGCCCCAAAAGGCAAGCTAGCAATGTGGGCTGTGTCCAGGAGACAGGGAGATTATCTCCAAGCCATGTCTGAGTTGCCTTGTGGCCTTTAGCCCATTCCCAGTTAGAGAGGCAGCATGAATACGGATGAATAAGGTCATAATGAATAGCATCTGTGTGTGCTACTGCCCTCTACTGCACGGAACCAGAACTGCTCAGCTGTGTGCCATAGGCTCAATACTGTTAGCAGCTAAGGGAGATTCTCCTTCAGCTCAAGAGGCAGAGCCCTGAGCTTTGGATGCAGGAGTTCCTGTGCCCTGTGCCTGTGTCAGGAAGTTCTCAGTGGGCCTGGAGTGCAGCCCGATGACAAGTGAGCAGTTCCAGGTGGGCTGACTTGCTATAATACACAGCACTGAGGATGTTTTTCATGGGTGCATCTCACAGTATTAGAGAGAGGGGGAGTTTCCTTCTCGCCCATTCGACAGCTGCGAAGGCTGAGGCACAGCGCTGGGACAGGGTGCGCCCACGGCTGCAGAACCAGGACTGCTAATATTCAGTCTCACGCTCTAGCCGCTGAGCAACGCTGCCTCCCCCAACTCCAGCCTGGCTTTCCAGGGGTGGAGAACACCACAGCAGCTGAGTGATGGGACTGTTCCTGCTAAAACTCAGGACACTCCTCAGGGTGGGGCCTGTGCTCTGGCTGCCCAGGCCAGGAAGGATTTTATGGCTTGTATCCAGGACAGGAACTCACTCCGGCGCTAGGCCAAGGAGCCCTGCCGGAGAGAGCACGCCAGCTCCCAGAGCAATGCCCCTTGCAAGCACAGCAGTCTCCCCGTGACTGCAGCTGGCATCTCTCTCCAGAGACTGCCACTTGGCAGGTCGCTGCCCCCCAATCTCAGTCACCATCAGCCAGGACAGAGCGAGGGGAGCAGGCGTGGAGGGTGGGGAGAGGGCAAACCTTCAGGGATCGTATGGCGAAGGGAAAACTGCCGTGTCCAGAGCCTGTGGAGGCGAGAGCTGCGGCAGCCCTCGGCCCTTACCTTTGATGGTGTGTTCAGTGGGTCCCAGGAACCACGGCAGCAGTAGCAGGTAGAGCAGGTACACGAGCGAGAGGGCATTGAACCGGAACACGCAAGCTGGGGAGAGAGGCAAAGGGAGGCGGGTTAGAGATCTGGGGCGCCCCGGGGCAGGACGCCCCGTGGCCCCCGCTGCTGCAGGGTCCCCTAGGCAGCTGGGAGCGACTTGTAGAACAAGCCCACTGGCTGTGGGGAATCATTCCCCCCCATCTCCACCCCGGGCAGAGCTCTTCATTACTCGGTCCAGGAACCGAGGCCTCGCTGCAGCACAAGGCCTGTGCCTTCAGGCAGCACGAACCCAGATCACCTCCTCCTGGGGGACCCACACAGCGTCAAGGCACCGACAAGCTACCAGCCACCGCCTGCCCCCCCAAGGAAGAGGGACCCACAGGCAGACAGGCTCTGACCTCAACCCACCTCTGGCTGCTCGCCCACTCCATATAAAAGTACCAGTTCTGCCCCCAAAAGGGGGGATTCACCCCCAAATGCTTCCCGGAAAGCAGGGCCATTCCCGACACCCACCAGCATGGGGTTTCAGGACATGGGATTTGTTAAACTTTGGGTCTGCAGATTCATAATATGGGAATGTTTGGGAAGAAACTGAGGGAAGGTCCCTAGAAGAACTGAAGTTTTTGAAGTAGACTAGAAGCAGCCTGTCAAAAGACAATCCAGCCATGACCTGGTTTGGAATGTGCACCACTGCCCTCTACTGGACAGATTCAGAACTGTTCAGCTGTGTGTCATACCCCCTGTATTGGTTACAGAACTTCTCCCTTTAGCTGCAGCACTAAGGCCGGTGTGTCTGGAGCTGCAGAGCTCCAGCCCCACCATCACCCTGCTGTGGCGTAGCCCTGCTGTGCAGCATGGAGAGGACTGAAGCTCCCAGGCAGCCACAGGGCTAATATGATATTCAACCGTTACATGGCGTTTTACACGTTTTAACAAAGGCCAAGTCTCCCCCAGAGGCAGAGCAGCATCAGGGCTGGGAGTAGAACGCAGGAGTTCATGGCTCCCAGCTCAGGGGTCTGGCCACTAGACCATGCCTAACTCCCAGCACACCTGACCCTGCATTTCAAGGTGCGGGAGAAGAGAGACGCAGCAGGGGCCTCACACAGCCACCCCTCTGGAGAGCTCCAGCCCCGCCCCAGTCAGCGAGGGGGCTGAAGGGTGGCTTCGCCCTTCTAAGACCCTGCCCCCAGTGTGTTTCCAAGTCTGGTTCTTCACACCATTTAGTTTGCTCCACAAGACGGAATCTCTACGGGACCCCTCCTCACTCACACACCCCCTATTCCCAGCCTTGACCCCTTCTCTTCGGGCTCCCTGCTCATCCCCTGGGGGACCCAGCCTCCAATCGGACCTGGCATGCTGGGAAACCCTCTTGTTCGCTCATGCGCCCAAAAGGGACACTCTGAAGCTGGACCATCATCAGCGGGGAGGGAGACGTGCTTCCCGTGTAGGGCAAAACCCCTGCGTGGGAGAGTCCTGCAGGAGGGAGTCAGGATCCATACCGCTGGACAAGAGTCAGCGTTTTTGTGATCCAGTTCCCAGGGTTTCCTACCTCCCCAAAAACTTAGCCCCTCCTGCCTCCCTGTCACTTCACACCAGAGGCTTAGCCCTTAGCCTGTGCAAGGGGGGGGGGGCAACGACTCCCAAACGGAAGCAGGTTCCTGTGCAGGTTTTTCCACTTGCCGTCACAGTATGGCTTTCCAGCCCGTGGCCAGGCTCTGGGACTTGCTGCCCTCCTCCCATGGCTGGGGCTTTGGCTGGGACAGATCATGGTGGAGGAGCATCCCATTTGGCCACTAGATCGGCCGGACCTTCCCTATTGGTTCCGACCCACAGGGCGACCCCAGCGTGGAATCAGCCAGTATGTTCTGGGAGGAGGCGCGCACCATACAGGCAGGATAAATCTCCACTCATTCATCCAGCCAGCACTCCCTCCCCATGGCTAGCAGCCACTGCCCTCTGGAAAAGGCGGCGACTTTCCTTCCAGTGATGCAGCCACTTCAAATACATATTTAAAAAAAAAAATCCTCTCAAGAAAGCGAGAGCACAAGCGTGCGAGCCAGAGCTCCGTACTGGGAGACTGTCCCAAGAAATGGTTTCAGGCCAGACTCCATTCCCCCACGCCAGGCTCAGGCTGCCAGGATTTCCCCTTTTTAAAAGAAAGTGGGCAGTCTGGTAATACAGGAACTCCTCACTTAACGCTGTAGTTCTGTTCCTGAAAAATGAGATTTTAAGCGCAACGATGTTAAGCGGATCCAATTTCCCCATAAGACTTAATGTAAATGAGGAGATAAGGTTCCAGGGACATTTTTTTCACCAGACAAAAGACTATATATATATATATACACACACACACACACACACTATAAGTTTTAAACAAACAATGTAATACTGGTACACAGCGATGATGATTGTGAAGCTCGGTTGAGGTGGAGGAGTCAGAGGGTGGGATATTTCCCAGGGAATGCCTTACTGCTAAATGATGAATTAGTGATTGGCTGAGCCCTGAGGGGTTAACACTCACACTCTACAAGGCAGCAGGAAAGGAGGGAGGGCGGACAGAGACAGAGACACACACCCTGTATGTGTTTGAGAGATGGAGATGCACATTTCCCCTTTAAGTATGAAGAGTGGGGTCAGAAGTACACTGCCTTGTTAGATCAGCAAGCTGAGACCAGACCACAGCTCCCTCCGTCTGTGTGTCCCCCCGCTCTATAGAAGATGGGGTGAGCGGGGTGCAGGAGCAGTGGGGAAGGGGACACCCTGACACCTCTTCTTCCCCTCCACCGTCCCCCCACAGCAAGCAGGAGTCTCGGGGAGCAGCTCCAAGGCAGAGGGCAGGAGCAGCACATGGCGGGGGGAGGAGGGGGAAGCAGGACAGCTGAACTGCCAGCAACTGATAGCCTGCTGGGCCTAGGCGGGTGCTGCACAGGGGACTTAGGGGAGCAGGGAGCTGATTGGGGGGCTGCCGGCCCACCCTGGTTCGAAGCCCCCACAAGCTCGCTGCAACAGGCTGCTCTTCCTGCAAGCAGTGGACAAAGCAGGCGGCTGCCAAATGACGTTAGAAGGGAGAATTGCACAACTTTAAACGAGCATGTTCCCTAATTGATCAGCAACGTAACAAGGAAACAACATTAACCTGGATGACTTTAAGTGAGGAGTTCCTGTAGTTGTGTGTGTCCTTCCAAACAAAACAAAACTCAATCTCGTCCAATGCTTGGGGGGGGGGTACTTTGGTGCCAGCCAAGACCTTTTTATGTGACTGTTTATTTGAAAACCTCCCACTCCCATTTCCACAATACATCTCACACACAAACCCACACGCACCCCTTCAGATCAGGGCAGCGTTCTCTAGAGACATGCCACAAGAAGCCCGCTGTGTCGCTAAGGGTCCCATCATCTTCCCTCCCCAAGGAGCTCGCACTGCAGCCCACACTGGGAATGCGCCAGAACCAGCCTTCCCTGCAAAGCGGGACCTGACAGGCACGCTTCACCCGGAGCCAGGAACACGCCTTTCCTTCTGCTTTGACACCCAAACAAGTCACAGGCAGCAGGGCTGGCCCTGGCCTCCTGGGGGATCTGCCCCACCCTACACCATCTCTGCAAGACTCCCACCGGGGCTGGGGCACTGAGCTCATCCTGGGTCCAGGGTTGAATTACGTCAATTGTAAGCACTCCAGAGCAGGTACTCTCTTTCTGTGCTGTTTATACAGCACCGAGCACAGTGCTGCCCCGGCCTATGGCTGGGTGTGTTACCACATTAGAGAATCATGGAAACGTAGGGCTGGAAGAGGTCACCTGGCCCAACTCCCCCATGCTGAACATGGACAGTGTGTGAACCCCCTATTCAGGGAGGCTAGCCCCGTGTCCCCCCCTCCTGCTCTCACCCACCAGGGCCAGAGGATCTCCAAGGCCCCCACCACAACTGGAGGAGCTCCAGACGGCTCGAATGAGCCGCCCCAGGCCCTGGCCTGCCCGAGCCACTCCCAGCCCACCCACTGGAGGAGTCCCGAGCCCCATCACGGCCTGGCCCTGGGGCCATGGCGGGGAGCATTAGCCGAGGTTTGGGGAGTCTTAGCCTAGAAGACCATACCCGACTAGGGTTGCCAACCCCTCAGGATTGCCCTGGAGTCCCCAGGAATTAAAGATCAATCTTTAATTAAAGATTATGTCATGTGATGAAACCTCCAGGAATACGTCCAACCAAAATTGGCAACCCTATGCCAGACAGGTGTTTGTCCAACCTGTTGGGGATTCCACAACTTCCCCAGGAAGCCTATTCCATTCGGCCACTACCCTCATGGTTCAAAAGTTTTTCCTAATACCTAACCTAAATCCCCCTCGCTGCAGCTTACACCCATCACTTCTTGTCCTACTTGCAGTGGATGCAGAGAACAGTTGGTCACTGTCCATTTATCTTAATATATCTGAAGGCTTCTCAGATCCCCTCTCAGCCTCCTTTCCTCTAGACTAAACACGCCGAATTCTTCCAGCCTGTGCTCATAGGCCAGGTTTTCTGATGGCGTTTCTTGCTCTCCTTTGGACTCTCTCCAGTTCATTCCTGTCTTTCCCAGAGCTGAACATGGCGCTCCGGCGGGGGGCTCCCCAGTGCTGAGTACAGCAGAGCCATCACCTCCCGTGTCCGCTGCACCCGCTCACGGGGGTGGAGGGCGTAAACCGGTGCTGTGCACTGTATAAGCACCTTGATGGACCACCCCAAAGGCAAGACACTGGGAGAAATGCCACTGCGTGTGGGCCCTCTGGGCTCCACCGCAGGGGAAATTCAACACCCTAAGGAACCAGCCATTTGCCATCAGGCCTTCAGGTGGCGGGCGCTCTTTGCCCCAGCCCTCGGCAGGAAGCTGGCACAGCTTGCAGAGTAGCCACAGCGTCCGGGAGCAGGGAGCAGGGTGGGTGTCTGGGTGAGGGCCCTTGTGTATCCCGATTATCAGTGTTTGTTTTGGCACATTCAGAGCACAAGCAGTTTAAACAACGGCTTCCCTCTGGGCTCCCCAGAGCGTGGGACCCTTTACGGCCTCTCAACCCGCTCTAGG